TTGAGTTACAGGTGTAGTTGATGTTTTCTCTTTAACTTTTCCAATATGATCCCAAACTTGATTCATTTCAGTCTAAAACGACAAGCGAGTTAAGAAAAGCATTAGAAACAATATCATTCAAAGATAATGAGCGCTACGACCGAGAAAAGCATTTTGATTCAGAATGTGCTGGAACTATAGTGAAAAAATTGTGAGTTTTAGCTTTCTGAATCAGAATTTTTAATGAATTCGCTAATATATATTTATTGGACATTGACAGTTTTATAGATTTTGAGGATCCTGAAATACGGTTGCAAAGGCAACACCTTGAAAGATGGTACGATGTTAATATATGATCGACTGTCATTGATAATTATTTTGCCAATATTAAAGGTGTGGAATTAGTCAGGTATTGTTTTAGACATTATTTTCTTAAAATATTTTCAACATTAAATTTTGAAGTTCACAGAAAGAATTCTACCAGTACGGCTACATCCTTAAGGAAGAACAGAAAAAGGGCACGTGGAAGTCGCAAGATAATGGGCGTTAATGATGTCGAATATGGAGCGATAGAAGTAGGGAAGGTGTTTGAAGGTCCAAAAGGAACTAAATTGCTTGATGATGGTTTTAAATTAGGAAAAACTTTACACGACATTCTAGTTAGTTTTTTGCCAACGAGTAAAATATAACGAATTAAAAGTAAGGCAGTTACAAGTTGTTGGCTTGCTTCACTCTGGTTAGTAGTGATCCGAACGGGTCGGGTCTATAGTTGTTAGGCGAAACCTAAAGGTTTCGCCAAAAAAATTTTGAAATGGCGAAATGGCGAAAGGTGGCGAAACTAATAAAAGGTGGTAAAACTAGCAAATAACGATAAGACAAACAAAAGTTATAAAACTATTAAAAGATAAAAACTATAAAAATTATATAAAATAATAAAACTAAATATAATGATCTTATAAAAAAGCAATAAAACTTTCAGAAGATAATAAATTAAAAATTTCAAATGTAATAAAATTTAACAATAAATTTAGAGAATTGTTATTTCTACCTTCTATTTTTGTTAATGCCACCTCTTCCTAAAATACAAAAAATTGCTCCGGAAGAGATATTATTACTAAGCAAATCTCTTTTTGGGTATTAATTAAAGTTTTTTATTAGGTTTTTTTTGGTTCTAATGATAGTAAAATTATAAAGATTGGGCTAATGGTTCATAAAATATTTATATCTAAGTTTTATAATCTTTAATTCACTTTTTAAAAAAAACTTCTAGTTTAATTTTAATGATTTTACTATTATTAAACAACTTTAATTAATACCAAAAAAGAGGTTTACTTAGTAATAATATCTTTTCTGGAATACTTTGGAGATAGCATTAGCAAAAGTAAAAGTAGAAATAGCAATTTTCTAAATTAATATATAAAATAATTGACTTAGATTTATTTTATAATTTATATAATATATAAATATTAAAAATTTTAATATACAAATATTTATTTTTAATTTATTAATATAAAGTATTTATCAAATTTATTTATATAATAAATATTTATCTTAAATTTAAAAATACTACATATAAATTTAAAAATAAAATATTTAAAAAATATTAAAATAAAATATTTAAAATAATAGTGAAAATAAAATATTTAAAAAATATTAAAAATAAAATATTTAATAAAGATAATTATCATTCATCGCCAGTGCGATGCATCGCTAGTCATATGACTGACCAATCAGTGAAAATCAAAACAATAAAAAAACAACGATGCATTAAGTTTAGGATTAGGGCCAAGGGTTAGAGTTAGCGATGTGCATTAGCGAAGACGTCCCTAATCCAAAATTTTGCAAGGAATTTTTTTTGTTAGAACGCAAAAAGTAGTTTCATAAGCAAATTTTCGAGTTACAAGTGATTTCTTGAAAAATCGTAATTTTCACGTTATACCTGATCTTAAATTCTGATTGGTCAGTCATAGACTAGTGATGCATCGCACTAGCGATAAATAATAACTCTCATTTTTAAAATTTAATTTTTTTATTTTTATTTTTTATTATTTTTTAAGATTTAATTTTTTAATTTTTTTATATTTAATTTTTTTTTTAAAAATTTTAAAATTTAATTTTTTAATTTTTTTTTTTATTTTTTTTTTATTTTTTTTTTTATTTTTTAAAATTTAATTTTTTAATTTTTTTTTTTATTTTCTTTTATTTTTTTTTTATTTTTTAAATTTTAATTTTTTTTTTTATTTTTTTTAAAATTTTAAAATTTAATTTTTTTATTTTTTTTAAAAAAATTTTAAATTTAATTTTTTTTATTTTTTTTAAAAAAATTTTAAAATTTAATTTTTTTATTTTTTTTATTTTTTTTTTTATTTTTTTAATTTTTTTAATTTTTTTTTTAAAATTTTTTATTTTTTTAATTTTTTTTTTAAAAAAATTTTAAATTTTAATTTTTTTAATTTTTTTTAAAAAAATTTTAAAATTTAATTTTTTTATTTTTAAAAAAATTTTAAAATTTAATTTTTTTATTTTTTTT